CCTGGGTAAGTACTGCCCTCTCCATCTCCACTGGTTTGACTTTTCCAAGGCACATGCATCGCCCTGGTGTTACCGCTCCTCTCGTAGACCTGCCTGTTGTTTGGCTGAAAACTGAGGCACGGGGATGAGGTCATTTCCAGACAGGAAGGGTGAGTATGGGCCTTCGTCTTGAGGGCTCCACCAATCTCTCTCTGACAGTAAGCCTGGTCTTTTTTTTTATGATTTTAACTTTTGCTCCACATTTTTCTCCCATTCTATCCAGAATCTTCTGATTGGATCCCTTTCAGAGCAGTTGGTAGTGGTAGCCAGGCATGATCTAATTTTTCTTTTCTTTTTTTCAGAGTTAAGTCACAAGTTTATGAAGCATACAGTCATGTCAAAAGAGATGAAGTGGCTCCCTCTAGAGAAAGACCCCTTGCACACAGTTAAGAGCAAAGCGGGCCCCCCTCTCAAGTTGAGATCAGGACATGGTCTAGGGAAATGCTCCTCGTTTTTAGATGACACTTTCAAAGGGGCAGGGGTGCCGCTCTGTAGATGGTCAAGCCACTTTCTGACTCGGTTCATCCTTGGGTCTCATGCATTGTTTCTTTTAAGCTTATCTGGGCTCCTGCTGTGGGTCGGCACATCTCAGAATGATCTTCAAGTACAGTCCCGTGCCAGAATGTGACTGGGGCCTGGCTTCAAGGTGAAGGTGTTCACCCCGCCAGTTCTCATGGAGTCCTTAGTCCATCCTTGTTTCACATGGAATCTTTTGTCCATTCCCTTAGCAGGCAGAACAGAAGTCCCTGTTCTGTCCCTGTCAAAAATAGTTGTCCTTTTGTGATTGAGTTATTTTATTTGTTAATTTGTAAGTGTGTTTGAGGTTCATTCCCACTGTCAGATTTCAGGGCCTTGTTTCTCTTTATGGCTGAGTAGTCTTCCATTATGGGGATGTCCCTCAGTCTGCCCACCCCGTCACCAGCTGGTGGACAGTGACGTGATGAATAGTGCTACAACGAATATTGGTGTACATCAATCATAGCAGTCCTCCTTATTCCCTTTAGTAGTTACCTAGGTCATGCAGTCATTTTACTTTTCATTTTTCAAGAAATACACTATTTCAGTCACTGAGAAGTGTGTGTGTTTCTGTTGTTGCTGTTAGCTGATTCATGCACAATGTGACAAACTGCTACCTGGCCCCATGCCACCCCCAGGTTCAGTTGTGTATTGGACTGTGATGACCTATAAAAATTTCTCTTTTTTTATCTTTTTAGTAAATCATTTTATTGGGGCTCTTACAGCTCTTATAACAATCCATACATCAATTGTATTGAGCATATTTATGCATGTGTACATACAAACCAATTTTTCTAATCTGAGTCATGGAGACTAGCATTCCAATGGTCCATTAGTCCATGGGGCTAATTGTTTCCATGAGTTTCCAACTTTATTCATGCCTTTACTCTGAGCAGAGTGAGACTTTGCACCTTAGATCGCCACTCACAAGCTTTTCAGACTCCAGTCATTATTTACCAAATTAGGATGTATTTAAATTTTTTTTACAAAACAACCTTATCACCTTCAAAGGACTCTCCACTACCCTTCATACATTTGTCAAATCTGCGATTCCATTCTTGGAAACAGTTTTCAAACTCATGTTTGGATAACTGATTTTCTTCACCTCTTCTACGTTGTCAAATCACTGTCCACAAAAAGAAGTCGCACAAAGCAAGGTCAGGTAAGTAAAGTGCGTGGGACAAGAGAGGCATGCTGGGGTTTTTGCCAAAAACTGGCACACTGAGATGGCTACCTAAGCAGGTGCATTGTCATGGTGGTAAAACCAGTCCCCCATCTGCCACAAATCAGGCCTTTTTGTCACACACTGTTATGCTATCTTTTCAGAACCTCTAAGTAGAAAGCTTGATTAACAGTCTGACCTGGTCGGATGAACTCCAAATGCACTAGGAGTCAACATGTTCAACTGTTTGGGAAATTGATGGACGTCCAGAATGAGGTTTGTCATCAATCGCCATTTCGCCTTTTTTGAAACAAGAAAACCACTTGTACACTTGCGTTTTCCCCATACCGCTGTCCTTGTAAGCTGTGTTCAACATCACAACAGTTTCTGTGGCATTTTTCCCGACCAGGAAACAAAATTTCACAGCCACATGCTGTTCTCTTAAATCGGCCATCACAAAAAAACGACATTCAAGTGAAACTGTTTTTATGAAAAATTCACTGTGACCAGACAGAGCCTTCCCATGTGACACTACTAGGTGCACTAACTCAGAGTGAGTTGTTAGATGCTTGCCTAGCGGGAAAAATGTGTACTATGAAAACTCTGCCCAACAGAACTTTTTCCTGTTTTTCAAAAAAGTTGGGGGGAGTACCCGTGTGTGTATGGGCATACCCCAATATATACATATATAAGACTATGCTCCCACTATCCCACATCCATTCAGCCTGTGTGTCTATCTGACACTTGAAGACCACGTCTACTGCCAGAGTGTCTATCGCTCCTGCTAGTGTCACCATCGTTTTCTTCTGGCTGTAAATTGCCCTTCCCTTCACCCAAATTAAGACTGTCTGTTCTCTAGCCAGTAACTCACCATCTCTCCCTTTCCCATCCCTGGCAATCATCAAAGACTGCTTCTTTTAGTGTGAACATTTTTCTTGTCTTTTCACAATAATGGTTCCACACAATATTTGTCTTTTGCAAATTGACTGATTTCACTCAGCATAATGTCCTCCAGGTTTATCAGTGTTAGGAGGTGTCTCGCAGATTCATGATTATTCTTTTATGTTATGTCGTATTTCATTGTGTGTGTGCCATAGTTTGTCCTTTATTCCAGTGACGAGTTATTGTGAATAGTGCTGTGATGAGCCTGTGGGGGTGTGTGTGTGTATATATTAAGTCCTTCAAATTTCTTCTTCCTTAGGAGTGACTGAAGTAAAAGATGTAATTGAGTCCCATCATCACCATGGTCATCATCATCATCATGGAAATGGATTTCAGAGAAGCTGGTCAAATAAATATCACTGCTTCCCATTTTCAACCAGGAGCTAGTAGCCATTGATCTAGACAGCCAGCCATCTGCCAAGAATGCTTGAGCTATGTTGTAGACTACAATGTGCCCATTCACAGGAGCAAACACACGAGGGAGTAGCTCTGTGTGCTTCTTGCTTTCATCATACAAGCCAAGCACAAAGGGACTGCCTGTGCCTCCGAGCACACTGGACCAGGCACTCTTGAAAAATTCTTCACTTCCCCTAAAAATCAGGTGTGGCTGTGTACATGATCAGTTGTGTTCAGCCAGGTTGACTAGAGGAATGAATCCAGTGACACTCATATATGTATAAGAAAAAGCTTTACATCAAGAAATAATTATATGTCAAGAAAGCATCCCAGCCCCATCCAACTAAGGCTTTAAGTCCGATCCTAGTCCATAAGTCCTTCTTTAGACTCATGCAATGATGCAGAATGCAGGAAGACCACAGGCCGGTGGGTGCAGAGTCCTGTGGATCCCAGGTCAGTGGAAACATGGCAGAGCTCCAACAGCTTTCAGGATAGCCAGCAAGCAGGAAAGAGAAGGAAGGCGGAGAGGTCCTCCTTATGAGAAGGCTACGCCCCAAGGGGACAGCAGCTGTGTGTAAACTGATTGACAGGTCTGACTCCACCCCTAGCCAGGAGTGTCTAGTTGACACGAATGTAACACTGCATCATCATTTTGAGACAAACTGTGTCAAATGGGTCTGAAGCCAACCCAGCCAAGGCCATGGTAAACTGCACAAACAGCCAACTGCCTAAGCTGTGGGTACGCTGGGATCTGGAAGCATTCCTTTGGCTGTGTCATAGATGGAGTCGGCAGCTCAAGAGATGATAATACCCTGCACAGGCCATCGCAACCATGACACCACCTTGATGCATGCCCTTAATCCCATCAGATTTGGAGATCTTAATCAGACAGTCATGGAGGCCTGTGAACTCCCTTTCAGCACTGACTAGGCCCAGGTCAGCTGCTAGACGGCCACAGGCAAAATCAAGAACACAAAGCATGATGCAGTGGCCATGGTGGCCCCACCTGATACCACATTCCCTGCAAAGCAGCGCCAGAACTGGGTCCTGTTGTCCACACCACCCAGGAAGATCCGCTCATATGTATCTTGGAAGGCAACTGGAGAGCCTGGGTGGAGAAGGATCAGATGACATTGGCCAGGTGGCCTTGCCAGGAAGACAGCACTACCCATCGTTGGGCATACGAGCCATGCTATGGATAATACCCTTTTGTGTGATTTTCTTGCTGGCACACTGCCCTTGCAGCAGCAGCAAGACCTGTTTGATGGGCACTGCCATCATCTTCGAGGTGGCCACAGCCACTCCACCCACCAAGAAGTCTTTACAAAGGGCCTAGCGGCATCTGCCCTGTTGGAGAAGGTCAAGGCAGGGATGGCAAGAATGAGACAGGAGCTGGCTTTGACTCCGCACTCTGGGCTGCACATAGCTATCTGTGTTGTAACTCTTACTTCCCTAGAACATATGCCAAGTAGGGGGGTTGCTAGAAAAAGCCCATTGCCTTTTAATTCCATTCTTCCAAGAAGTTTTTAAAGCAACTTTGTATTAATTTTTTAGCCCAGGACCTAGGATATAGTGTAAGAAACAGGGTTTCTATTGACATATTGAGTGGAACAATTCTGTGTTGTGGGGTCTGTCCTGCAGATTATAGAATGTCTGGTAGCATCCCTAGTCTCTCCTCACTACATGCCAGTCACAAACCCCACCCCCTCAGTGTGATGATCCAAAATGTCTTCAGACATTGCCAAATGCCCTCTGGGGGACAAAATTGCCCTCTGTTAAGAACTGAGTAAAAATTTAAATAGTAGAATGAACTGTTACTACTGGGGTCATCTTCCTCACAATTGGTGGAGAACTAGATATTTCGAGCAAGACTCTGAAAATATAAATTCTGCCTACAGGGGGAAAAGGCATATAGGTTCGAGAAAAACCACACAGCAAAACTTACCCGCACAATGATCCTTTCGGAGATGTGGGCAGACAACAGATAGAACTGGTCTTGGTTAGCAGCATATAGGCCAACTACCAACATGAAGTATCTAATCCAGAAAGAGCAAAGAAATGCAGACACATCAGGGACCAGATACTCTGCCATCAGATACCACCCAAGAGCTCATTAATAGGACATTGATAGAAGGGCTTGAGAATTTAAAGACTGCCTTTTTCATTCTGCTCTCAAGTGCCCTCCTGCAAAGCCCCTCCTGCTGTTGGTTCACTAGCTATTGTTCTGAGTCAGCCCTTCGCTTGGCTTGAGTTATTTGCAAATTGCTTTGCTGGCCCCAAAGCACAAGAGTACAGACTTGGGTTGGCCCACCTGTGCTGGCTAAGTACAAGCCTTACTCTGCTGTGTCCCAGGGCCCTCAGCACAGCACTGCGCGCGTGCACACACACACACACACACACACACACACACAGTCACTTTGTTAAAGCCCCTCAAGCCAGATGTCCTAGATTTAATGGAGGGCACCTCATACAGTTTGCCCAACCATACTGGATCCTTTCCACCACACCTGCTCTGGGTCCCGAACCCTGCACCTTCCACATCCTGTGTCATGCCTTGATCCAAAGACCTGAACCCACTCCCTGAAACCTGCCCAGACAATTTTCATCCCCATTATTCTTCACTTATTTCAATGGCTTCTTCCCATGTGTCACTAATCTGAAGTTCAGACCATCTTGTGAAAGTCAAAAGAAAAATTACCCAAATCGATATAAGCTTTTGATTTAGCAACTGTGTGAAAAAGTTTCACCAACCTCTTGTAAAACACCCAATGGATTCTCCAGCCCTAGAGAACAAGAGTTCTTCCGTCCGACTAAAGTGAAGCAGTCATTGTGACAGTTGTTATGATGTCTTGACACAGTGGCCATAGTTTGGGAATGATGGGCTCGGGCACAGCAACTGTGACAATGGCACAGGCATGTTTCCTTCTGCACACAAGGTCACCATGAGCCCAACCCTCACAACAACCTACGGAGTGCTCAACATGTACTAAACAGTTTACCAACATGATTGCACTTAGATCCTTAAAGTAACCTGATTGAAATAGGATATTATTTCTGTTTCCGTTTTACAGAGTAAAAAAATGAGTCTCAGATTAAGTTACAAATCTAACCTTACTCAGTCATGGCAGAATCAAATATTCAAACTTAATTCTGTCCAATTCCAAAAGCAAAGTTCTAGACACGTGTTTCTCAAACTTGGGCTCACCTCAGAATGACCTTGAAGGTGTGTTAAAATACAAATTACTAGGCTCCATCCCCGAGTTCCTGATTTGGTGGGTCTGGGAGGAGAACATTTCTAGCATGCTCCTGGGTGATGCTGTGTTAGTTCTAAGACCATACTGGGAGACCCACAGGACTGAATAGCGATGTGGATGTCTGTCTTTCCTTCTTTCTTTAATGAAAAGGTGATTGGGGAGCTCCAGAACTCCGGGATTAGAAACTGGGGGCCTGTACACAGACATGTGAGATTCAGTCAGTCCTCAACCCTCTGATGGCAACAAGACGTAAACACTGGTGACAGTGGAGAATCTTGGAGGAAATCAGGACAAGCCAGTTTAGGGGTGGGTTGGAGAGTAAGCATTGCAGGCAGTGAAGATGGTAAAAGGCCTCCAAGGGACAGATCTAATGAGATGTGTCAGTAACTTGACAGGAACCCTGGGTGGTACAAATGGTCAATGACCGGCCGAGGCTGAAAACTAAGATTCTGGAGGGTTGACTCCTCCAGAGGCACCTCAGAAGAAAGGTCTGGCCATCACCTGCTGAAAAACCAACCAGTGAAGACCTGTGTCAGTTTTACCCTGATACACGGAAGGTGCCAGGAGTCAGAATGGACTTGACAGCAACCTCTTCTTTAAAAAATCCTGGCAGACCACATGGAAGAAGCACACCAGCCTTGGTGATCATGAGGAGTCAATGGGAAAAGGTATCAGAAGTTCAAAAACAAGCAACCAATTTGGTGTGAAGGGGTGTGGGCAGAGTGGAGACCCAAAACCTACCTCTAAGATAATTGGACAGTCCCTTTCAGAAGGGCCACATGGAAGGGATGAAAAATTCAGGGTGCAGTATAGCACTGATGAACCACATAACTATCCTCTGGTTCTTTAATATTTCTTCCCCTTACTATTATAGTTTTTTTTACCTCATTAATCACGTTACATTTGCATAGGTTCATTTGTATATTTAAGATCATTCGATACATGAAAGTCAAGATAGATAACCCTTCAGAAACAGTAACAGAAGTAACAGTTCCCTGAAGGTACAGGAAGAGGGGTGGGGGTGAGGGGAAGAGGGAGCTGTTAGCATTGATGACTGTGTAACCCCACTAGATGGGCTCAAACAACAGAACTGTATGTGAATGGATATATTAGATGTGTAAGATATGACCAAAAAATAAGGGTTCCTGGGGATATGTGGGAGAGGGAGAGGATACAGGGGAGCAGATACCCAGGCATTCAAGAAGAAAGACAATGTTTTGAACCTGATTGTGGAAGCAATTATACAACACTGCTTGATGTGGATGAATTATGGAATGTTATATCTGTAAGAACTCCCAATTAAATGACTTTGAAAAAAGCCCACAAACTCAAAAATAAATAAACTGGCAGAGTCAGAAATGAGAGGAGAGTGATTCCAGGAGGGCCAAGACCATCAGAAGGCCCTCAGAGGGCACTGCCCCATCTGTTGGAGGCCCCACCACCCGGGAGCGGGCACCGTGACGCCAGTACCTCTGGTCAGGATTTGGTTTTCCCTTCTTTCGCATGTTGTTTGCTGTGGTTTCGCTGAAGTGTAATCTCCCCAGTGTTACTGTGGTGACCTGGTCAGCCAGGGGGTCGATTCTAAAACAAACAGCAGAAACCAAGAAGCCAGTAAGAGAATGCAGTGTCTCTAATGCTGCCTAGCCCGCCCTTCCTCAGGTATGTGCAATGCCCAGTTCTCGTCCCCCTGCCAAGCACAGGCCATCCAGCCATGGATTATTGGTAGATGATCCAGAGCAGGGTCCTGAGTGGCGGCCAGGGAAGGCTATGGGAAATTGCTTAAATGGTAAGAAGTGCTCATGCAGCCGAAGCCCGGGTCCAAGTTTCTGACTCCTAAGGATCCACATACCACAATTAGATCTTTTACACCCACTAGGAGGAGGAATGAGAGCATGTAGTGATTGCTCTGTACCACTAATGCTGCTGCAGCCTCTCCTGAGTGAGGAACTGCTCTACTTTTCTCTTCACACCTTTGCTCTCTCCTCGGCCGCACACAGACTGCTCAGGCAAGGAAGATCCAGAGGCCCCAGGGAGTTTGCAGAATTGATTTCTTCTAAAGGTCAAGGGGAGGGGCCGGCTATGGACTCATCTTCCCAGCCCAAAAGGGTCTGACTCAGGGTCAAAAGCAATGAGGTCCTTCAGTTGCGTAGAAGCCACCATGGCAACCCGGTGTGTGTGTCACCGGAGAACGGTTTTAATTGGGTTTCCCGGGGCTGCATTTTTGAAAATAGATATCCAGGCCTGTTCCCAGCTGCCTGTGGGTGGGTTTGAACATTGAACCTCTTGGCTAGCAGCCAAGCAACTTAACCATGTGTCCCATCTCAGCTGCACCTTGTTCACTTGCCAGCTAGTCACAATGGAATTCCTCCTCCCTGCCCTACAGGAGAACTCTAGCTGTGGACCCCATATTGCTTTGTATGGTGCAAGTCATGAATCCAATTTTATCTTGTAAGAAACTATCAAAATAGCTTTAAGAAAAAAAGAAAAGAAATGAATTTACAAATACCATAGATCCTTAAAATTGACTCAGTCAGCATTGCACTGGTATGAAGGAAAAATTAAAATAAAAACCTACCCAAAAGCTATCTCAAAGCTGCTAGCGAGATTATTAGTAATATGTGGTTATAAAAAGAATAATGATAAATGTGGATCATTTGTACAGAATTGCCTACAATCTCTTCAAGGCAGTTTGCCAATTTTATTTTTGTTGGTAAGCATGTATTCATGATATGAACATATCCTTACTAACTTCTATGGCAGGTTTGATTTTTAAATAAGCAAGAAAAACCGGACTATAGTTCATCTTCCTAAAACACTCACAAAGGTACTCAGAAACTAAATTCTTACTTAACAGGATTGAAAATCTTTTTGCTTCTATCTGCTTGGGATTGTTCGATAGCAATTATTTGATTGGTAGCTTCTACCTGTAGAAAACAACACAAAAAAAGCACACGTCATTAAAAAGAATGCTGAAGAACAGTTTCCCAAGATACACGTATGTACACAGCCCCTGGGGGGGAGGGGCAGATCACTGAGAAATGTAGGAGGTAATGCAGCCTGCCTTAGCACAGCGTGTTGTTGCTGGGAAAGGAACAGTAAAAGCACAAGACAACAGGGTATTTCAGGAAGCAACACAGACAGTGCGCTTGGAAGTAATCCAACAAATAAGGACAAGTAACTTAATGCATGCATGCACTCATTCTACAAGCGTTCATGAGCATCTAGTCTCCAGTAGCCACTACTGCAGGCATCCGAGAGAAGAAGTAAACCATTTTAAAAAAACAAACCTGCCCTTGTAGAGCTTATAGTGAACTAAAATAAAAAATGTTTGAAGCACCAGCAAGCAGAATAAGTAAATAGCACATAGGGCATCACATCTATTCATTTTTGTTAGACATTCTTCTTGCTGCTCAGAAAGTCGTGAGGCAGGTTGGGTGAAACCAGCCCCGCCACACACGGCCGTAACCACCTGGCAAGGAACCGGGCCACCGACGTGAAGATTTCTCATCACGTTCACATCTTGGCTGTTCAAATTCCCCTTCCAGAATTGTTCCTTATGTAAAAATGAGTTCACATGCCTTTTCACTCAGGGTTATTGCTTATCATTTTAAAAACAAAATAAATAAAATTTCCCATAAATCAGGAATGAATATGGTACAGTGGAAAACAGTCCCAACTTTGTAACTAATATTTTAATGGTCTTTAATAATATGTTATTTTCCAAATATAAAATCAATTAGCAATCAATTTTAATAACAGGGAAAAAGGAAAAATTGGGTTAATAATATGGTCAAGAAGCTCATAAATTATATTTCGTATTCATTTCCCTATCTTTTTTTTTTCTTTTTTAACATTTTATTAGGGGCTCATACAACTGTTATCCCAATCCATACACACATCAATTGTGTAAAGCGCATTTGTACATCGTTTCTCAAAACATTTTCTCTCCATTTAAACCCCCGACATTAGGTCCTCATTTTTCCCCTCCCTCCCCGCTCCCCCCTCTCGCATGAGCCCTTGATAGTTTATAAATGGGTATTTTGTCATATCTTGCCCTGTCCGACGTCTCCCTTCATCCACTTTTTGGTTGTCTGTCCCCCAGGGAGGAGGTCACACACAGTTCCATGTAATCGGTTCCCTCTTCCCTACCCATTCTCCCTTTACCCTCCCTGTTTTGCCACTCACACTACTGGTCCTATAGGGCTCATCCGTCCTGGATTCCCTGTATTTTCAGTTCCTATCTGTACCAGTGTACCTCCTCTGGTCTAGCCAGACTTGCAAGATAGAATTCGAGTTATGGTAGTGGGAGCGGGGAGGAAACCTTCAGGAACTAGAGGAAGGTTGTATTTCTCATCATTGTTACATCACACCCTGACTGGCTCATCTCCTCCCTGAGACCCCTCTGCAAGGGGATCTCCTCATTTCCCTATCTTAACCCAGAACTTTGACCCCGGACTCAGATGTCGTTTCCATAATCAGAAAACGTCCTGTTCTTGCTGTTCCGTGCTGGATCATTGGTTTGTAGTTTGTTTTGTTTACACTCTCGGGTTAGAGCAAGAGCATGCCGTGGTTAAGTCCAATGCCAGCACCCCTTTGAGGAGACTCGATCCTGAAGCCCTGTTAACCTCTGAACCCAATGTGCAGCTAACAGGTGCTGCAGGAACTGGGTCTGAGCGGGACATTTCAGACACCTGCTGCCTGCTCAGCCGCCCTATCACCTGTGTTCTAACAGTGCTGCTCCTTGTTCTCTTGGGCGAGTTGTACAATGTTATTGTCCACTCATGGCTGCTCGGCATATTTTTGGAATGATGAAAATGCCCTAAAATTAAATAGCAGTGATGATTGTACAGCTTTATGAATATTCTAAAAAGCACAGAATTGTATAAAGGGTACATTTCTGGTAGATGACATACATCGCAATAAAAAATACCTAACAAAAAATTTAAAGACACCTACACTCAAATACAAATTTTTTTCAGATACAAATTTATATGCAGTTTTCATAGGTTATGTATTTACAGTCAGTGGTATGTCACTAAAAACCCCAACCCACTGCCGCTGAGCCGACTCCAACTCTGGGTGGCCCTATCTAGGGTTCCTGAGGCTGGACCTCTTTAAAGGAGCCTCATCTTTTTCCTGCTGAGTGGCTGTTGGGTTTGAACTGCTGACCGTCTTGTTAGTAGTCAAGAGTATAATGTGGTACGCCACACGGGCTCCTTGCAGAGTGTCAGTAGGAGCCCAAATTTAAAGTCAAGCATGGGATAACAACCTAAGAGTCAAAGGGGGAAGGGAATGGGTCATCAAAAACTCCCAGGGCTCTACTAGGAACAAATGTTTACTTGAATCAAGAAATACTCAGGTTTCTGTATCAAGCTGTCCCAAATCCAAGTAGCATCAACCAAGCACAGTGAATACAAATATTAGATTTAAAAAGAACAAAACTCACTGCCATCGAGTCCATTTTGATTCCTAGAGACCTGATAGGACATTGCCCCTGTGGGTTGCAGAGATTGTAACTTTTTACAAGAATAGAGAGCCTCATCTTTCTCCCAAAAAGTAGCTGGTGGTTTCGAACTCGTGGTTAGCAGACCAATGCATAATCCACTATGCCACCACGGCTCTTCAATACTTACACAGGGACATGCATTCAAAACTACAATTTAGATTTTTAATGTTTTTTGTTTTTTTTAAAGAAACCTTAAAGACCAATCCTTTGAAAGGGATATTGTATTTCGTAGAGGATCGGTGAAAACAAGAAAACCCTTTGATCAGGCAGATGGATACAACAGACATAAGAATGAGCTAAAACATGTCAAAGATCACAAAGATGGCGCCGGACCAGGCAACATTGAGTTCTGCAATACATAAGTGTACTGTGAGTTGGCGCTGATCCGATAGGCAATTAACAGCAGCAAAGTGATTGATTTCAGATGGCCTCAAAGTTTCTCATAGCGAGGAGAGATCTACATTTCCTTCTTTGGAATCTGAGTGGTTTCTGTGACAGAAGTGAGTCCGGATTACAAAACTGGCAGCTTCCCCTTCATATGCCCTGGAGCACTGGTTGTTAGAACCGTACGCCATGCTGTGAGGTAGCGCAAGCTACCCCAGAGAGATGGCCGCAGGGAGCAGAGCCAAGACTCCCAGCTATGGCCTTGTTCAAACTACTAGCTGATGAGCAGCACAAACCTACTGCTACATGAGTGTGCCATCTTGTAAATGGATCCAGTCCTATTTCAGATGCTCCAGCTGATGCCTCTTGAACATAAATGAGCTGACACGGCCAAGTCCTGACAAAGTGGTAGATTTATGAGCCATATAAGAGATCGCTATTGTTTAGGTCATTGTGCAGTAATAGATAACTGGAACACTTCATAAATACTGGCTGAATAGAAATAAATGAAAGACTTACCTTAATCCCAAAAGCCTTCAAGTAAAACATTTCTATTGGCGTTAGGCCCATCTGAGTTTTGACAAATTTTGGACTTCCCCAAATTTGGATATGGATGGATATCTGAAAATGGTTTTTCTTTTGGCAAACAAAGGCTTCATCTGCTGGTGAAAAATTAAATCCTTTGTCGGTGACAACTCGGTAACCTACATCAGGTCTATGAAAAGAGGAATAAAGAAACCAGTTGTATAAATATTTTCTACATATTTTCTTCCAGTAACCATATCAGCTGTATAACCAGTTCCAGAAAATATATTGTAGAACATGTGTTTTGTTGTATTCCATCAATAAACTCTTGAGTATTGACTAAAGAAATAAAAATGATAGTTCGAAATACAGCAGGCTCTTGTTCTCTTATCTTCTCACAGGGAGAGAAGTGCACTTCTTGCCAGATGGAAGCATTGTTTTCTCAGTCTCACACTTCCTTTCTCCTTTGTGCTTTCCGAGCGTTTGAGACTTCATAATTCATTACAAAGATGTAGACTAGGGGTTGAGAAGTCACTGTGCTACGTAAAACAGAATTATTTTCATTCCTTTCGTAGAAAAAAAATAAACCTCTATACTTCACCAGTGACACCACACTCCATATGACAATTATTAATGATGTTAATAACATTCCTCAGATGCATGGATAATCAATCAGGGGGGCATATGAAGTAGAATTACCAGGGATAGCTTTAAACCATATAAGATTAACCACAGCCAGTCATATTACTTATTAAAACTTTTTTTTTTTCCCTGCTAGAGTATGGTCCTTTCTTGTTTAGCTTTCCAATCTGGGAAAATCACAGAAAACCTACAAAGGTGGTTATTTCTGTAGACTGGAATGAGGTGGTGATAGAGTGACCAACCCAACTTTTACTTTATTTCTATTGTTGAATTACTTTTTTCTTCTTTAGCTGTTCTATATTTTGGTTGTCTTTTTTTGTTTTATGAAATGAACTTATTTGTCACCAAAGACTCCAATCCATTTGTTTTAATTTTCCACCTTTTTTTTTTTTTTGTCACTCAAACCAATACTTAGGTTGGAGGGATGAGAAATCTGGAGGGATTTTTATTTCTTTTTAAAGACATATTCTGTATCTATTTACACAGCCCATCTCAAGAAATGGAATCAACAACAATATCTCATTAAACCCTCCATATAGGTGGTTTTCTTTCTCCTGGTTCCCCATCCTCCTTCCCTCCCCCTCAATATCCTATCCCTCCTCTCTTCCGCTTCCCACCCCATCCCTGGCTTCATTTTCAATAACAATGCTTCGTGCATAACATGCTTAACTAAATACTACTAAAGTGTTAGTCAAAACCTTAACTACATAACTGTTATTATGTAGAAAAAAGAATACCTACGTTTTTCTATGGTACTTTGCAGGGTACTTGTTTAGTATGCAGGGTACTTGTTTAGTATGTTGTAAGTATGGAAAGCGATTTTTTAATTCATCAAGTTTCCTAAATATGAGTTCTTTAGAAAGAAGTGCCTTCCCAGACTTAGCAGCAGCAGCAGCAGCAGAAGGAAGTACGCGCGTGCTGAATCTCTACCACTGCGTGGCTCTTTGCACTCTGGGAATCTCTATTTGGATGGCTGCCTTTATGACAGACAATATAGAGTTTCTAAATTTTCCTCAGGCTCAGAGACAGAAAACATCAATGGGTCTCCTGGGAAGAGAGTGCTTGTGTTCTCTGCAAGTTAAGCACCTTCCCAATGGATCACGTCACTGAGTTATTGATTGCCCTCAAGTACCCGATCAGTCAAAGGCACTCCGCAATCATAGTGCCCACCAGTAGAAAAAGAAAAGTCCATTAAATGAAGGATTTGATAGAAACAATATATCTTATGCCATCTGGGAACTCCATATTGACTTGCATTTCTAAAACGATGCTGCTAATTTGCTGCTTTAAAGGCTAGATGGATTGACCTGTATATATTTTCCTACAGAGGGTAATAAAAACTGTCTTGGTTGAGGGGAATAAAAGGACGTTTTCTTTTTAATCATTTTATTGGGAGCTTGTACAACTCTTATCACAATCCATACACACATCCATTGCGTCAAGCACATTTGTACATTTGTTGCCCTCATTATTCTCAAAACATTGACTTTCACTTGAGCCCTTACTATCAGCAACTCATTTTTCTCTCACTCCCCATCCCTAATCCCAGCTATGGCCTTGTTCAAACTACTAGCTGATGAGCAGCACAAACCTACTGCTACATGAGTGTGCCATCTTGTAAATGGATCCAGTCCTATTTCAGATGCTCCAGCTGATGCCTCTTGAACATAAATGAGCTGACACGGCCAAGTCCTGACAAAGTGGTAGATTTATGAGCCATATAAGAGATCGCTATTGTTTAGGTCATTGTGCAGTAATAGATAACTGGAACACTTCATAAATACTGGCTGAATAGAAATAAATGAAAGACTTACCTTAATCCCAAAAGCCTTCAAGTAAAACATTTCTATTGGCGTTAGGCCCATCTGAGTTTTGACAAATTTTGGACTTCCCCAAATTTGGATATGGATGGATATCTGAAAATGGTTTTTCTTTTGGCAAACAAAGGCTTCATCTGCTGGTGAAAAATTAAATCCTTTGTCGGTGACAACTCGGTAACCTACATCAGGTCTATGAAAAGAGGAATAAAGAAACCAGTTGTATAAATATTTTCTACATATTTTCTTCCAGTAACCATATCAGCTGTATAACCAGTTCCAGAAAATATATTGTAGAACATGTGTTTTGTTGTATTCCATCAATAAACTCTTGAGTATTGACTAAAGAAATAAAAATGATAGTTCGAAATACAGCAGGCTCTTGTTCTCTTATCTTCTCACAGGGAGAGAAGTGCACTTCTTGCCAGATGGAAGCATTGTTTTCTCAGTCTCACACTTCCTTTCTCCTTTGTGCTTTCCGAGCGTTTGAGACTTCATAATTCATTACAAAGATGTAGACTAGGGGTTGAGAAGTCACTGTGCTACGTAAAACAGAATTATTTTCATTCCTTTCGTAGAAAAAAAATAAACCTCTATACTTCACCAGTGACACCACACTCCATATGACAATTATTAATGATGTTAATAACATTCCTCAGATGCATGGATAATCAATCAGGGGGGCATATGAAGTAGAATTACCAGGGATAGCTTTAAACCATATAAGATTAACCACAGCCAGTCATATTACTTATTAAAACTTTTTTTTTTTCCCTGCTAGAGTATGGTCCTTTCTTGTTTAGCTTTCCAATCTGGGAAAATCACAGAAAACCTACAAAGGTGGTTATTTCTGTAGACTGGAATGAGGTGGTGATAGAGTGACCAACCCAACTTTTACTTTATTTCTATTGTTGAATTACTTTTTTCTTCTTTAGCTGTTCTATATTTTGGTTGTCTTTTTTTGTTTTATGAAATGAACTTATTTGTCACCAAAGACTCCAATCCATTTGTTTTAATTTTCCACCTTTTTTTTTTTTTTGTCACTCAAACCAATACTTAGGTTGGAGGGATGAGAAATCTGGAGGGATTTTTATTTCTTTTTAAAGACATATTCTGTATCTATTTACACAGCCCATCTCAAGAAATGGAATCAACAACAATATCTCATTAAACCCTCCATATAGGTGGTTTTCTTTCTCCTGGTTCCCCATCCTCCTTCCCTCCCCCTCAATATCCTATCCCTCCTCTCTTCCGCTTCCCACCCCATCCCTGGCTTCATTTTCAATAACAATGCTTCATGCATAACATGCTTAACTAAATACTACTAAAGTGTTAGTCAAAACCTTA